GCAGTTATACTTTGATATTAAAAAGTTCTAGAAATGGATAGTGATGATGGCTACACAATGTGAATGTACTTAACACCAGTGACTAGTGTACTTTAAAATGCTTATGGAAGTAAATTTATGTATACTTTGCCACAATAAAGATTAAAAATAAGACAGGAAGCATCTGAAATATGGTTTTCACTGTTCTCAAATAGTTTTTACACTATTAACAAAACCAACAGGAGTCTAATTATTCATAAGTTATTAAAACTATTTTTAATCTCAAAGGCATAGTTACATGTGGCAGTATGCTGAATGTCTGAAAGAAGTGAAACACTATATTTGAATAGTGAGAAAAAATTTAAATAAATACATGTGTTTTACAAAAGTTGAAAAAAGAACTTCAGTGTATTTAGCACTGAACTTTTATTTTAAGGGTGTTTCTTTTCCTCATATTGTAATATGCAGGAAACATAGTAAGTTAACATAACTACAAAACCGGGCCCTCCCGGGTGGTGCAACAAGTTAGGACGCAGCACTGCAAAGGAGCTTCAGCCACTTCAGTGCGAGTTTGATCTCAAGCCCCAGAGGTGATTCACATCACAAGGCAGACCTCTCCTGATCCGCCCACTGCTCCCCTCAGCAGTGTACTTTGTTGTTCTGCCTACTCTGCTCCCCACTCTACCTCAGGTGAAGCCTTTCACCACCCCTGCACCTCTGGCTTATACCTAGTTCTGTATGCATAAATAAATTCTTAAAAAATAACTACAAAAACATGGGGATAGCAAGAAAATAAATTTTGCTCTTAATTGTAATAGTTCCCAGCAAGTAATCAGTTAACTTTTCTGATGTGATCACACATATGTATACCTTTGTATGTGTGTGTATACAGATACATATATTAAAGCAAGATATATGAAGCAATTGTATTTTGTTTTAAAATTTAAGATTAACAGATTCATATCTTAACACTCAAACCTTAAAGGTTAAGAAACAAACAAAAACTTAGCAAATGTGTGACAATAAGCCCCCACTAGAACTTTTAACCAAGGAGTGAAACAACATTTATGCTATATTTTATAGAACTCAAGTCAGTCTCTAAAATTAAAGGCCACAGACCCTAATTAAAGTGCAAGTGTTGAAGTTAAATTTAATTATGGCTCAATCTCATTTTTTTTAGATTTATTTATTTATTCATACAGAGCTAGGGTACAAGCCAGAGGTGCAGGGGCAGTGAGGATTCACCAGAGACAGAGTGGGGAGCAGAACAGGCAGATTGATAAAGTACACTGCTAAAGGGATCAACCTGCGGGTCAGGAGAGGTCTGCCACGCCATGTGGGTCACCTCCTGAGCCTGGGATTGAACTAGCACTGAAGCAGCTGCAGCTAGCTTCCAGTGCTGCATCCTAATCCATTGTGCCAGTAGGGAGGGCCTCAATCTCATTTTTAAAAAACTATTTACTAATTGAAATGAGAAACCAAAAATATGCCTATTTAAGGAAAATAACAGTAAATGAATAAAATCCATTTTAGAAAACACTTGTTTCGTAAAAATTTTAAAATCACATAATTGTTAATTTAGGGAAATTTTAAACTTCTGCATTAAAGCTTTGTGCACTGATCAACATCCTGGTCTCTTTTGGAGGAGAAATAGAGAACAGGCTTTAACTGTAATGTCATACTACAGTTCATAAACCTCTACAAAAAAAAAAAAAAGCCAATGTAAAATGTTACATATCCAACTATTATTCACTTTACATTTGACATTTTTATTAAGTTCTCTTATTAATTATATACCCAAATGATATGGATGCTGAACAGAAACGTAATACTATGCACTGGTTTTCAGTTCCAGTCATTGAATTGAAACTTATCAAAATTGTAGAAAATTAAATAAACTTCATGGCCTTGTTTTTTTGAAACTATTTAACCTTAAGAGTGCTTTATAGTTCACCTGATTCAACAACTAACAATTAACCGTAGAATGCACTCCTGATTTGAATGTAAACTTGATTGATCTGGAAAACTATTAACTACTGTCAAAACAAGTAATGTTTTGGGTAAACAAAGTGAAGGACAGAGAAGTTCTCAAGTTAGATAAATACAGTTTTAGGTAGTAACAGTAATAACCTTTTTATGATAAAATTCTTAAATTTTGGACAAAGTACATTTAAATATTACCCATTTTGATTTCATGTTTGAAAATTCTTCCAAACTTGAATGAAACTCATATATAACAATACCAGTAAGTTATCTACTATATAGCCACATTTTTCTTTTAAGGAAAACTTCAAAGAAAGTAAAAAATCACATGGTTACTCTCCAATGTTATATAATAGGAAATGCATGCTTAAACAGTGCTTTCACTTAGTATTTTGCTAGTTGCCTGCTGATGGATATAGGAAGTTAGGGTGATGGAATAAATTCTTTTACTAAAAGCATTAAAACAATTTCTTATACTTGACCACATGTTTATCAGTGTTATAAGGAAAATCCAACATTCCTCAGGATCAAGAACATCCTATAAGGTTCTTATATACTATACAAAGTACCAAGCAGTAACTTTTCTGACTTCATTAATGAATTCTGGCAAGATTGTACAAGCTGGCTCCTATACTGCCAATATCTATCTTCCTAGGAGCTGGAAAGACTTTACTAGTCATCAAAAAGTCTTAGTTTACATCAGGCTTCATAGAACAGGTTCGGGAAGGTTCTGAATCACTTCAGACTTTTCACATACATTTGCTATTTTATTCTCCCTCCTCCATATGTCAAGCAGACTTATTTTCTACTGCTTTTCTCAGAAAATACATATTGCACAAAAGCTAAACTTCTAGTAATGTCAAAAAGGTAAGACACTATCACAACAGTTTCAACTTTAAAATATTGTGCTTCTGGGCCCTCGCTGGTGGCGCAGGGGATTAAAGCACAGCACTAAGAAGCTTAAGCCACTTCGCATGAGTTCGATCCCCGCCTGCCCTGGAGGAGATCCACATGGCATGGCAGACCTATCCTGACCCGCCTGCTGCTCCCCTCAGCAGTGTACTTCATCGATCTGCCTGTTCTGCTCCCCACTCTGTCTCCGGTGAATCCTCTCACCCCCCACATCTCTGGCCTGTACCCCAGTTCTGTATGAATAAATAAATCTTTTAAAATATATATTGTGTTTCTGAGTAAAATAAATGTTTTTATTCATAAACATTGTACCATGTTACCCCCCAAAAGAATCTGTCTTCTTTCTCCACCCTTGTTGGATCTAACAAGTCGTCACAGCCATTTACTTTAGAGGATCAGTGTTTTTGTAGATAGAACATCTAGATGCTCTGAATTACAGGTGTGCCTGCTGCTCAAATACCTGCAAGACAGTGTGGCCTCCAGCAACAATTAGCCACCCTTCCAAGACAAAGAATTTGGCAAGCGCCATCTGATCAACCCTACACTGATACACAACTGCTTCAGATAAATCTACTCTACCTTGCAGCAGTCAACAGCTATTTTTGTGTATCGGTTGCTCAGTGCTATGGAAGAGTTGCTGGGGGATGGTGGTGGAGAAAAGTTAAATTTTAAGAAGGAATATTGCTGACAGTTTCCTCCCTTCCCCCCTTTATAAATTGGAGATAGCCCAGAGCTTAGAACAAGCAGATGAAAAAGAGGGTGGATTTTGTTACTATTCAGTAACTAATACAGAAACCTCTAAAAATATCAGTTGTGGGATTCAGAATGTTAACTTACCACACTGACCACAGAAATTCACTGTATCAAGATGCAGTGGATCAACTAGGCAAGGCTATCTGTTGGCAGGCAGGCTCCCATCACTCACCCCAACCCCTATAATCCCCCGAGAGCTTGGGAGTCAACCAAGGCTGCCAACCCTCTGTTCATCTCTCTGGCTTTCTCTCAAGGTCTCCCCTCTTCTGTAATCATCACACATCTCGCCCTCTCCTAGCCTCTGAGTGACCCAGCCCTTATATACCTGACCTCTGGGCTCAGGTGTGCCCACTTACAAGCTGCAGGTGTCCACAGTGAGATAGGCGTGCCTGCGCCCACGCTCCCAAACGCCTTCTGCAGCAAAACCATCAAAAACGCAGGTGATAGCAACAGAGGCTAGTGGCGCAAAAAGCTTGATTGATCCATTTACCCTACACACGGTTAGAAGTCAATCACTACCAGCCCTCAAAGCAGATCAACAAATTGTTTTCCAAATGTTGAGTGAAGAGGTGAGGATATTCAGAACGTTCTGTCCAGAATGTACCCACTGCAAAGCAAGAAGCTTTCAGGAAAAAAAAATCACTGATTTCATTCTATTTTTAACTATCCACGAACACTTTTACTAGACTTGAAACATTCAAGCAGCCTTGTTAAAGATATACCTTCACAATATCATCTGCTTGATGTGATTTTGACAACTGCAAACTATTAACTAAATTAGGATAACTCCTTTCAATGCTTGCCGATCAGAAGGGCCATTGGTAAGTGAACTGTTTCTATTGTGCAGCTGCAATCTTTTTGTAATGTTTCTGAATCCCTTTGATAGTTTTTCATGCTTGAATTGACCACGCGGTACATGAAGTGATCACATGAACAGCTCGTGACTTAATGTGAAGCAAATCCTCCTCATGGGAAACAAACTAAAAGTTAACGATGCTTACACCAAAGTGTCAAGAAAGTACGTAGATGATGACTTTGTGAGAAATGCAAGCGCTGTATATCTTAGCATCACGAGAACAAATGCCAACATCTTGTCACTTTTAATAACTTCCTTGCAGCTCAGGAGCAGCCAGCGTGCCACCAGGAAGCCGAGCTCTGGCTAGGAGCCCAGCATCACCCCGCCATCACCCTGGATGACCCTAATCATCCAGGGGTGCGGGAGACGAGAGTGTACCCCTCCCCGACAACCACTATCACCAGAAGCTTAAAGACCTCCCCGAAAGGCCACCCGCCTCCAGCATCGGGTAGTGAGGAACCCGCTCGCAGGAGAACCAGCCTTGGACTCCCGGCGGGTACGGCAGCGAGAAACTGACCTACGCGGCCACCCGGCTCCCACAGCTCCCGGGGAGGGGCCACGGCTGCAGGCTTCCCGTCTGCCCGCCCCACGTCGACGAAGTGGCCGGCACCGATACGCGCTCGCACTTCCCGAGGACTGGCGGCCCCGAGGAACCGCCCAGAGTCTCAGGAATCCCGGCGCCAGGAAGACAACGAGGCAGTGGGGCGCTGCTCCAGGAGGTGGCACCGCCCCTCGGTGCGGTCAGCCCCCACCGGGAGCGCGCCCGAATTATTTGCGCCAAGCCTTTGTGGCACGTGACCGGCGCGCGCTCCACGCCCTGGCCCCGCCCCCAGAAGGCCCCGCCCCCGGCCGACCCTTCAGGCTCCAGTTCCGCCTGGACCAGGGGCGATCTTTCCGGGCTTTGCCAACCGCTATAGGGTGGGGCCAGGCCTGCGCGTTACCCCCTACCCTATGGCGCGCACCAAGAAGCGCCCGGACCTATTGTGCTGTTGGACATCACCCGGAGGCTGCTGGTGGCTGGAGAGGAAACCCCAAAACAGAAACCAATAATACTGAGTTAATGCTCTGGCAATTTGTTATTAAACAAATACATCACTCGGTTGCTCAGATCTTTGTTTTGCTTTGGTTGCCAATTGACACACGCGGGAACTTAATTGACATTGTAAGGTAACCACACCCCCTTTTCATTTCCCAAATAAAGGATAACCTGAAAATGTCATACAGGCATAGCGGTTATGGGCGCTGTGTGTGTGTGGGTGTGTGTGTATACATTAACAATATAAGATTACGCATTCCTATATACATGGGATACTTAAAGGTATAAAGATTTCCAAAATATCTTTCCTTTCCTCTCCCCATTAAATAATTTTTCTTAAATAGGACACTTCAGACTTAAGGTGCAACAGATCTAGCCAGAGTTAACACAGCATATGATTTGAAAGTTCAAATTCCAGTATTATTACGATTTTTCAAAAAGTGCATAACTAAAAAAGATGAAAGATTATAAACATGAAAAAGTTTCAACGTGCATTTTCCATTGTATTTAATGAACATGTTTTTTGAAATGGGAAATTAAGAATTTATTTTTAAGGAATTGTGGTTTTCCAATCAATTCTAGTCTAGTAACAAATATTGGGAACTTAAAATGGGATAGCCTGATCATTTCCTTACATTTGTTTTATCATGTGACAGAATTTCTTGGGAGAATTTCTTTAATCCACAATAACATCTTTTATTTATTTAAAAATTTAAAAACACTGGGCCCTCTCATTGCAATGAAAGTGCAAATGCCAGCCCAGGAGGTGACCCTATGGTCCAGCAGGCCTCTCCTGACCTGCCTGCTGCCCTTCCGCAGCCTGTTCTGCCTGTTCTGCTCCCCACTCTGTCTCTGGTGAGTTATATCACACACCTGCACCTCTGGCCTGTACCCCAGTTCTTGTATGCATAAATAAATAAATCTTTTTTAAAAATTAAAAAAACACTTAGACATTACTTCAGCTGCCAAATTTGTGCTTAAAAAAGGCAGTCACAGTTAGTTGCCTGACAGAAGAAATGACAGGGCTTGTTGTCTGCAAATATTAGATTATCTTCACAGTGAAAATAAAAATTGACTGTTGAAATATTCCGAATGATTCCATGAGACTTTCATTCTCACCATGACTACTTAATTACCTAAATTTACTACTCTTATTGTTTCAATTCACTTTACTCTGCTCGAATTTGGAAATGAAAACATAGCCAAAGAGAGGTTGAAGTTAATAGAAGGCAACTAATACAGTCACCAAGTGAAGCTCCTGTCAATAAGATTCTCAGTTCTACAATAGTCTCACTAGAGTATCTTTGGAATTTATCTACATAATCTTTAGGAAAATATATCTTAGGCATGTTTATAACCAACTAGTACAAACAAAAACATTAGCATGTAATAATCTTATTTTAGAATGCTGCAATCCAAGGGAACTTTCTGCAATGATAAAAATGTTGTGATCCTATCTTATCTAATAGAGCAGCCACTTATCATGCATGCACACAGAACACTTGACATGTGGCCAATTTAACTAAAAACTTGGATTTTATTTCATTTTAATTTATAGCCACATGTTGCTAGCAGTTAACCATATGAACAGTGCAGAACTAGACCAGAGCAATCACTATATTGTCCCTAGGTGTATCATAGTCTATGCTGAGGAATATTTGGCTAAAATTGAACCTGTAAAATCTCTATTTTCTCTATACTCTTTTCAGCTATGAGCAGAGAACTATTTTAACTTCGAAGACAGCATTTGTTGAAGTAACTATGCCATCCTTATTAATAATGCATGTAAGAAGGAATGGAAATGAAGTACTGGGATGAAAGGAAAAGGAATTTGGTAGTAGCTAGTCCTTTACCCTTCATTTGCATGCTTGCCTGATCCAAATGGAAAGCTAATGAGGTAGCATTATACCACCCAGTGCTTCAGCAGAATTGCCCATTGCCTCCTGCACACTGGGCCTACCTAGAACTCCTATTTGTGTGTCTCAGGAAACAGAGAGAGTTCACAGCTTTCTACTACGATAGTCTTCTCAGTTGTCAACGATTCCCAGCAGATTACAGAACCTGATATTTGTGTCCCTGCAATTTTGTATTAAGCCTAAAATCCCCCAGAATGCGCTTTACATGTTTCAAAAACACTCCCCTGGTGCCAGTGTAACTTTGAAGTGCCTATAGGAACACACTAGAGGCTTGTTAAGTATTATTAAAAGGAGGATTTTATGGACTGAGAATTTGGGGAGGGCTTTGGGTAATTACTGCCTGGAATGCTGAAAAGTAGGTCAGATGTCATCACACAAATGCAGATAAATTGTTGAGTTGGGGGTATTGGCCACCTATACACCTGCATATTAAGCACTTCGTAGTTATTAACTCCAAATCATCAAGACTATGAGGTCACTGGGATTTTCTTTTTCTTAAAAAAAAAAAAATTCATTCCATTTTTTTGTCATTTGTGCCATTTAATAACTGAAATAAGCAAGGTGTTGTATTTCTAAATACTAAATTATTTTTATCTAGACTTATTCTGGGCCTGTCCCTGTTTCCTAGAGGTATGACACATTGAACTTTAAGCAACTGCTTGCACCAACAATTGGTTTTGGTGGGTCCCCACACAAAAAGCTGAAGAAGACCCTGCTTTTTATACGCTTTCTTCATTGTAAGCAATGATCACTGAATTGCATAGCATCAACGAAACAGTTGAAAATCTGGCCAGAAAAAGGCAGAACTAGGGCCCTTCCAGAGATAGGAATAGAAGAAGCTCATCAGCAATTTTTCCAAGGTGCTGCACTGGGAAAAAATAAATCCCAACAATTTGTTGCCCTCTCCTTTTGTCTTTCTACAAAAGAGGCAAGAGAGTGAGGGTAATAGACACACAGAGAGAGACTGAATTTTTGGCTTACAGGGTGGGGGCACGTTGGTTTATAAACCCACAAGACTACCTTCTGTAGGAGAGGTAGTTACCACCTACCACACACACACACAATCTTAGCGTGATGCTTGCCCAGAAAAGGGGTGAGGGATGATGGACAACACAATCACAAAAATGACTGTTAGAATATATTAGCCTTCTAAATTTTCCAGTGAAGCTCTTGACATAGCTTTTCATTAAGCATGGGCTTCTTCAGATATGTTTCTAGCTCCACCTTTACCCTTCGCCCAGCTTTTTTATCCACAATTGTCTGGTCAAGCACTATTCCTGACAATTATACTATCCCTTTAATCTGCCCTGTCCATAGCTCTCTTTAAAGAACTTTCCTGAGCTACTTGTAATTCTTGGTTCAGCAGAACTCACAGGGGCGAGATCTAATGAAAGGGCACCTCTCTGCCATGCTTACCCCAGGTCTCGTAACCCATTCTGCCCAAGAGAAAAGCTACTGTGTGCCATAAAACCACCTGGATTTGGGGGCCCTCCCTGGTGGCGCAG